AAAAAAAAAAAAAAGGAGAGAGAGAGAGACAGCCTGGTATGGTGGCTCACGCCTATAATTCCAGTACTCAGGCAGGCTCGACAGAAAGATGACAAGTTTGTGCCCTGTCCAAGCAATTTAGCAACTTAGCAGGACCCTGTCTCAAGTAGTTCATTGTGAAGGCTCTGGGTTCAATTCCCAGTAGTACCAAACAATTTTAAAAAGCCAAGAGATACTAGCATTGCCAACAGTGTGGAGGAAAGAATATACTTATATACTTTTAATGGGAATATAAATTGGTATGGCCATCATGGAAAACAAAATCTAGTCATCTCACTACTGGGCATAGATCCAAAGGAAATGAAATCAGTATATTATTTTATTTATTTATTTAGGTACTGGGAATTGAACTTGGGACCTTACACTTGCAAGGTAGGTGGCGGCACCACTGAGCTAAATCCCTAGCCATGAAATTAGTATCTTAAAGAGTCATCTTTACACCTATGTTCTTTGTAGCAGTACTGTTAATAGCCAAGAGGTAGAATGAACCTAAATTTACATCAATAAATGAAAATGTACACACACACACACACACACACACACACACACATTAGAACATTGTTCAATCGTAAAATAGAAGGAAATCCTGCATTTTGCAACAATGTAAATAAACCTGGAGGACACTGTGTTAAGTGATATGATCCAGGCACACAAAACAAACACGGTATACTACCCTCACATATATCATCTTTTTTAAAATGTTGAACTCATAGAATTCGGGAGCTGAGAGTGGAAAAATAGGGAGATGATGGTCAAAGCATACAAACTTTCAGTTGCAAGATAAATGAATCCTAGAGATCTAATAATAGCATGGTGACTAGTAAGTAATAATATATACCTGAAATTTCCTAAGAGTAGAATAATTTCTCATCACATGCAAACAGAATGGTGTGGTGACAATGTATATCAGGTTATCACACTGTATACCTTGAATATATATAACTTTTATTTGTCAAATGCACCTCAATGAAACTGGAAGAAAAAAAACTCACCCTCTCTTCCAATGCAACTGAAACAGATGGAAAAGAGCATGTTGCCATGGGGGCACATCCCTCCTTAAATTCCTGACCTTGAACCTCACCTAGACTTAGACCTGGCCTACCTCCAAGAAGCCATACTGTATTTTCTCAGATGAATTCCTCCTTCACTCCTCTGGACAAATATATTACACCTTGTCCTCTTTCTCCAACCTTCTTTATCTTCTCACTCATCTCACTCTCATTTGATGACCTTTCATCCTGTTTTTCTGAGAAGTAGAAACAACCAAGAAGAGAAAACCTACAGCTCTCTGCCCCCGGGAATGCTGACAGTGGCCTGCTTATTACTTCCCTGTAAGATCTGGCTAGATTCCCACCATTTTGTTGTTGCAATTGTTTTTACTTGTTTTGTTTAACCAGCTGGGGGTCCCACTTACCATCTCCTTCTTATCCTCCTGGAAGTGTACATCCACAAACATTCTTCCAACAACATAAGGAAGTGCACTTTCAATAAAATTGACACATTTGTCCCATTGAGGCAGCAAAGTTGTGGTCCCCTGAATTACCTGTGGGAGATGATCGATCTGGTTTTAGCTTCATTTGGATAAAACATATATTAAAAAAAACTTCAATCCGCCTAAAGAAAAGCATCTACAAAACCTTGCACAATCCATTTCACATGTATGTGTCAGATAGCAGGACAAAGGTGAAATCAGATGAAGAAAATAATTCTGCTCCTCCCTAGTTATATCTCAAACTAAACATGTTTTAACAGAGGAAAAATAATGTATCTTGCCTTTTTTGAATTTTTCCATTAGGCTAAGGATCTAGACAATGGTATAGCTTTTCTGTGCTCAGCAGGGATATGAGGGGATGCTCATGTTCAAATGTCCAGATGGTACTTAACGTCTATTAAGAGCTTAAGTTGCACTGGGTGTTTTAGGATCAATGGTGATCAAAGTTTCTGCCAGCCAGTGCTTCCTAGCTCTCTGTAGCATACTCAGCAAGGCAGATCAGGAGAACATGGCCCACCATGACCAATCTAGGGAGCATATTTACACACTGTGTCACAGCAGAGAACACACTGGTAAACAAGTAAAACACAGGCATAAATGCTTTTTACATCTCTCTCAATTATATCATTATAAGAAAACGTTTACAAATATGTAAGCAACTCCCAAGCAAGATTTAGAAGGCTCAAAAATTTACTTATGGGGATGAAAAGAGAGGAAAAACTATCATTTAAATTGTCCCCAGAGGCTGGGGATGCAGACAAGCAGGGAGTCAGGCTCTGAGGGTGGTGAGCAGAAGCACCCCTTGCATATAATATGAGATCCAGGTTGTTGGAAGAGGGCAAAGGCGATTAATGTTTCAGTTTACCTATTCTTCTGCTTTCTGATAACATGAGCCCTACCAAAGGTACGGGATGAATCTATCTTTAAAATCTCTACAGAAAAAGGTCCTACAACCTTCTTTGGCAACTTAAAATTATATTTAGCACTTCATACTCAAAAAACATCCCTTCATATCTAAACTCAAATTCTCACACACTCCTTCTTATACTTCTCTCTCCCTCCCTTTCTCTCTCCCTCTCTCTCTCTCTCTCTCTCTCTCTCTCTCATCTCTCTCATTCTTTTCACAGTAGGGGTGGAAAGGCAGCTGGATACTGTCTTTTATGTGATCCATAATAGATAAAAATATACTCATATCAAAAAAGTCTACTCGTTTTGTATCTTAACAATTTTATATGACTTAAATATATGTAGTTATTTTGTGCTATCCTCTATAAAGTGACTTTATACTTTCTCAATTTTTATTAGTCTGTGTTTGCAGACATAATGATTACATACCTCATGGGGAGTTGCTCTGTGTACATAACACACCTTAATTCTTTTTTTCATCCCCTCCACTCTTCATCTCTTGGTCCCCTTCCTGTTTGCAAAAGATCTAGCTCCCTTCTTCCTATTATCAATCTTTTATTTTGCTCTTATATTTTGCAATATAAATATCACATGGTTTCTCTTATATGAGAAACCCAAAATATCAATAGTGTCTTCATATTCTAGTGAATTTAAAGGATCAAGATGTACCCAAACAATTGCATTGCTTTTTAAATGCAATGGCTCACTATTAATTCTTGTACTTAACTAGTTTTTCTAATAACTAAAATGTCTATTAAAAGAAATCAAAACTTACGATTTGCTATTCACAGCTTTAACTTGATAGAAAAGTGAAATAAGGACAGAGATTTAGCTCACTGGCACCACGCCCACCTTGCAAGTGCAAGAAGGTCCTGAGTTTGATCCCTGGTTCAAAAAAAAGAAAAATCTTTTTTCAAAGTCACAAAATCTGTAATTTCTCAAGTGCTGGCAGAACTGCTACAGTGCAAGCCTCAGAAACATGGATAAGAGTAGCGTCTGTGTCAGTTAGGAGGCAGCAAGGTGGCCAAGGAGCAAAGACTCAAGAGCCAGGTGAGTGGGGAGAAAGAAATCAATTCCGGCACTTAAGTGAGGTCTCCAAAGAGATGGAACTGGGGTAGGTCTTGTGGGCCTAGCAGAATTCGGACAGACTCAAGATTAAAGATTTAAGCAATATTAAAAACAAAATTATAACCCCAAATTAAAAATGAAACTTACAATCTAATAATATATCATCTACACTTTGAAAAATTTAGAACACTGAAAATAAAAGATAGTTTGATGTAATAGATTAAGAAATCATATTTCTCCAGTCTAACTGAAACTTTTTACCCTTTGGTCAATACCTCCTCTTGCCCCAGCCCTCCCTTCCCCATCCTCTAGTCATCACCATTTTACTATGTTTCTAAGAGATACCTTTTTCAGACCTCATATATACTTGAGATCATATAGAATTTGTCTGTCTTCTATTAGAAAGCTATTTTACATCCCACATATAAGTGAGAAAATGCTGAATGTGTACATAGTGATAGTATACAGAGTAATAGTAACATATATTTCAAATTTGCTAATAGATTTTAATGCTCTCAACACAAAAAGGCACATTAGTAAGATGATAAGTGTATTAACTTGTTTGACTCTGTCTACATAGATCAAAACATAACACTGTACCCAAACAAATATACACGAGTATACCAATTACTGTCAGTGAAAACATTTAAAAAGAAATATAAATAAACATACTTTAAAAGATAGTTATAAACTTACCACTAACAAATGTTAAAATTGTAATTAAAGTCACCCAGTTTAAAGCACTGGGAAAAATAAAAGTAAGTTGAAAAGAGGAGGAGAATTTAGAAACAATGTGATGACCCTATCATCATAAATATATTTATTTAGCACAATCAAGGTAATGCTTACCAAGACCACCTGTCATGTAAAGGTACAAGAAGATCCCAATAATGAATGTAACTGTACTGTATACCTAAAATGTACCAATAAACTCAATAAAAGAGAAAAAAAAGCTAATGTTTGAATGTACTTTTAGGGTGTGTAAATTACACCTGAATAAAAAGTAATTTTAAAAAGTAGAGTTTGAGCTACAAATTCCCTGTTCCATCCCTGAAGACGATTTTTATTGTATCAGTTAATGTAAAGACTCTTTTAGCATGTAAAGTTATCTAGTGATATAACATTGCAATTTTCTTAAACTCACCCGCGAGAATTCCAGCCACCTATATTGAAAGCGCCTGCTAAGGTTTGGAATTCTGGAATAAACCATTCTCCACACCAAATAGTTGGCAACTGTCCTGTTAACAGAGAGAAATGCACATTTATTGTATTTTGGGTCAATATCTGATACTCTGCAGAACACTTTCAGAAAAACGATTGGCAATGTTCCAGGGAGACACCTCTGGTTCATATAAAAAAGCTGCATTTTCACTTGAGAAATGACCGGAGATGATACAATGTCAATGAGTACAACCAAAACTGGCGTGCCTCTCACCACATACTACAGCTAGACCAAACAAAGATTCCAGCCCCAGGCCTGAAACTGTACATTTTGCTTTCCTTCTCAGGGCAGAGAATTTACTATTGCCCAGCCTTCCATGTCAGGAAAATGTGACTACCTCTGAATTATAGGTGATTTGATACAAATCAAACCTATTCTTTGCCTTTGGAAACTAACAGCAAAATATTGAGTAATATCAATCATCTAAATTTGCACCCAGGTTTTATATCCTGTAAGCTCAAGGAAGTCACTTAAGCTCTCTGATTTATCTTTCTTGTAGTACAGTGAGGACAATCCCTACCCTGTGGGCTATTGTGAGGTTAAAATAAATAACAAAATGCTTGAGAAAGTGGAATTTCCCAATTTTTTTGTTGTTGTTCATTCCAAAGATATGAACAATCCCATATGCTTCTGTAATGCACATAAAACATATTTTTTAATCACTGTTACATTTTAGGTGTTGACTTCTTCTAAAAGCAAAAGGTGCCCTGACCTCAGACAGATTCGTGACCTGACTTGATTCCTAACTTTATAGTGATGATGGATTTTTAACAACCCATCTTCTCTCAGCTGTGCCATCACCATGGTGAATAATAACACAAAGTCCTAAGATGGCTCTTGGGTCCATTTGAAACTTGACAGCAGTATGGCACAGTGATGCTAACCAGCTCACCCAGAATCATCCACATTCTCATTTGCATACTGCTCTAACACAGGAGACCTACACACTTATTAAAAAATATTTTACAGCATTTATGTCAACATATAGATTGTTGTTTTAATTTACATAGCAATATAAGTAATATATTAGAAACATTTAAACAAATATAAAAATAAACATTTTAAAAGATAAAATAAAAATATTTTCAAACTTGTTCTTTTTTTATTTTTTCTTGGTACCAGGGATCAAACTCAGGCCCTTGTGTTTTTGAGGCAGGCAGCAGAACCAATGAGCTAAATCCCTGGCCTAAAAATATTTTCAAAGGTCACTAATCCTTCAAACATTGTTGTCATTCTTCAAGATATGTTATCCATATAGGGTTAGGTTAATACAACAACAATGGATATAAATTCATATTTCATATAATCTTAACTATTAAAAAAATTGACATGCCCTTGTCAGATTACCATTTTCCTCCCTGTCGTCTAGATTACCAAGATGGTGTACTAGCATAAGAGAGGGGTCATTTTTGCCATTTTCTTGCTACTTGCTTTTGCTTACATTATTAGTAATGGCTTTCGTTTCTGTTGCTCTGCAGTAATTTTTAAGCCACTTGTCAATGTTGGGAAGATTAAACTAGATGACAAAATTCATAAATTTACATGTGTACATGAGCAACAAAGGATTATCTTCAGTCTACTGAATGGAAACAAAACTGAGTGCCCCTGCCATGTGTGCAATCAGGATCAAGTGCAGGGTCTTTGGCCATCTATATAGAATTTGCTAAAACCTCATTATTTTTCAACTGAAAAATAAGGATTTAAGAGTACCAAATTTTTCTTCTTGGACCCCAGGGCTCTTGCTGGGGTAAACATCCTCCCTCTCAGAGACCACCCCCCAAATCAGCTAAGTGGAGCCCTCATTCATGCTCTGTTCAGGCAACTGTCATAAACATGCCATTTTATATCACTCCTTTGGATCTTTGGAGTACACATCCCTACTTCAGTGTAAGATGAGCAGTGCTCACTGATCACCTGCTGTGGGTCCAGTATTGTACAGATGCCTCAAGAAATATGAGCAGGAACTCAGCACTTACAGTCAGAGAGTTCAAGATTTCAGTTTGTGCATAAAACTGGTTTTTTAAGTGACAGGACACATTTTAAATACATACGGCATTAGTTATGGCTTAGATCAAGAATGATCCCCACAAAACTCTCGGGTACTCAGAGGCAAGGCTTTTGGGAGGTGATTGTAATGTTAAAAAGTAGGGCCTGACCACAAGAGGCAGGTCACCAGAGGTGTGACCTGAAGGGCTGATCTCCCTACGCTACTTCTCCCTTCTCTGCTTCCTGGCCGTTAGGACATGAGCAGCTTTCCTCTGTGGCAGGCCCTTTCACTGTGCCATTTCTGTATTTGAGCCTGCCAACCATGGACTGAAACTTCTGAAATCATAAGACAAAATAAACCCTTCCTCCTTTAAGTTGTAGGCATCAGGTATTTTGTCTCAGCAATGAAAAAGGAACTAAAATATAATCCTTCTTTCATTAATTCAGTTAACACATACATTCTGAGCACCCATATATGGACTAACAGTTCTAGGTGCTGGGGAAATGGAGAGATGATGAAGATATACCCCTGATCTCCTGGAGCTTATAGTTGAGCAGAGGAGATGAGGCAGGTGCATAAATAATTATTCAGGAAGCCCAAGCACCCAAAAGTGCATGCCAGGCACTAGCCTAGAAGAACAGTAGACCTCACACTGAGAAACAAAGGTAGGCTTCATGAAAGGGACAGGGCTTGAGTCATTGTTAAAGGCTGGAAGGCTGTGGTGTAGGTAGCAGGGTGTGAGTAGACTAGTAATGGGGGAATAGCCCATGTATTAGAGGGGCAATGAGCAAAGTCATTGCTGAAAAATGTAGGCAGAAAAGCCAGCCATGCTGGGGAGATGCTGGCAGCACTCATGGTCTAGAGCAGTGGTAGTAAACCTATGGCACACATGCCACAGTGGACTGTTTGTATCCTGAAAGCTCTGAAAGGTTCCCCATCACTGGTCTAGAATCTGATATGTCAGTGAGATAGGGTCCTGGCCCTGTGCAAGATCTGTGTTTGCTTCGTCCTTAAAACATTGCTTGCTGCATGTATGAGCTGTCCTGGCCCCACAGGTATAGATTAGAAGGTCAGTGGCCAATAGATGTCCTTCCATGAATTCAAAAGATAGTCTCTCCACGGGGTGGTGATGAGCCAGAGCAAGTGGGGAAGTTCTTGGTGGTGGAAGAGGCAGTGTGGCAGAAGTAGAACTTGTCTTTAGAAGGAGGGGCCTTTCCAGCTTGCAGAATCACTCCACATAGCCTTGTCATGCTATCTATAACCCTCATATTTCAGCTATAAGAGATATATTATTATACCCATTTTACATATTAAGAAATTTGAAGCTTAGAACCATTAAGTAAATTCCTCATTACACAGTAGATCTCAAATTAGTAGAATGATCTGAGGAGTTTTTAAAGGTTAGGCTACACCAGGCCAATTAAATTATAGTCTCTAGAGTAGGAGCCAGCATACATGTTGTTTTTAAGTCTTCCCACCGAGTCCAATGTGCAGTCAAGTTGAAGAACCACTGTAACAAGTCACAGAGGCCAGAGCAGAGACAGATATGTCCAACTATAAGCCTGTGTACTGTTCCCTACACCATAAAGCAAAGAATGAAAGCCTAAAATTCCCTGGCCAGGCACTAAGACCCCAAAAATCTGCAAATAAAAGTGCTTTGCAGAAACCCATAAACACAAAAAAGAATAGTCAGGACTTCCTGGCCAAGCCATTACCAGAATGATGGCCTCACAACAAGACCTCTGAGAGCAGGAAGATGGAATGCTAGGAAGCTCAAACAGCAAGACAGTGGAGTTGATAACTTGCTCCAGTGTGTTATAAATATGCCGACAGAATACTACGGAGCACAGCTCAAGAGTGCTAATATTACCATGCCAGGAACAGATACAACCATAATGACTGAAGCACTGCCACCTAATGCCCAGATACATCAAAAAAACAAAACAGAAATCAAACCCAGCCACAGTCCCTGAAAATAATACATAATGTCTTTCTGTCAAAAAAAACATTTCAGCAGTATGGTAATTTCCCCAAATGGCAATAAATAAAGTAGAAGAAAATAAAGCATCCCCGAAGAGAAACCACCACTAAGAAAGCAACATGAAATTCTCCCCCAAAGCCTCTGACTCAGATTTGTTTTCTTTTTCAGGAGTTTTTGCTGCCTCATGTTCTCAGTTAGCAACAGCTTACATTTGTATTACATTTAAGAGATGATAAAATACTTTTTCTGATCCTCATGACAGGACTTTGGAGTAGTCACTATTATTATTCCTATTTTCAGACGAAGAAAACAAAAGTCAGAGGTCAAGGACATGCCTCATCCAAGACTAACAGTTTGGTCTTCAGATCGAACCTTGCATTTTTTCCTCCCCATCACACTACCTGAAAAGAGACAGAGAATTCTTCTCAAAGGCTGCAAAAGCAGAGATCTTCCTAAATCCTACAGGACACCCAAGCATATGCTTCAGGCAGTAGTTCTCAAAGTGTGACCTTGGGCCAGCATCTTCAGGATCTCCTGAATACTTGGTAGAAAATTTCTGGCCTCCACCCTAACCCTAGCAAATCAGAAACTGTGGGGAGGATGACAGGCAGTCTGCTTTAGCAAGCCCCTCAGGGGATTCTAATACATGTCAGGCACTGGTATAGGAAAAATCCATCTTCTCATCTTTCTGCAATGCAGCTCAACCACGACTTCCTAAATCCTAGGTGGGTATTTCTTAAACTTGTATATAAATCATTTGGGGATATTATTAGATTGCAGATTCTGATTTAATAGGTCAGGATCAAAGCCTGAGATTCTGCATTTCTGACAAGCTCTCAGGTCATGCCCATACTGCCCCTCTGTGGAACAGACTCTACAGTGCAAGGCTCTAGATAACCCTCAGGAGAGCTGAGCCTCATGAGAGGTCCAAAAAATGGCATATTTTCCAGATAGGATATTGGAGTCACCTTTCCAACCAGAGTTAGCTTGCTTTAACATACACTGTGCTTCAGTTCGTGACAGCTAAAACTTGGAAACAGCCCAACTG